ACTCCAACCGAAAGCCTGATGTAGACAAACTGTGCTAAGTGTTCATAAAATATCTCCAGCCAGGGAATGTTTGATGGAGGGATTAAGGAGCTCCTTTTAAAATGAGCAGACCTGCTTCGAACGCTTTTCCTGTGGTGTTATTGCATTCTGACATATGCCTTCTGTTTTAATCACAGATAGAAAAGTCAGCTTTTTCATTCCCGTTAACTGTAATTAAATGATGAATCTATTACTTAATTACTTTGGTACGGCATGAATGAAGAGGTGTGTGTGTGTGTGTGGGGGGGTCTTTATTTCCTGTAAAATGTCTTAAAATGCATTTAAAAGTCCAAAGTTTACACCCTCCTTCATTTTTTCTAGAGCTATCCATTGGGCCAGCCTGGAGTCTCTGCCAGACTGATTCTGGCCCCCGGGCCTTATGTTTGATACCTATGCTCAAGAAGATAGTTTCTGCTGCGGGATCAGAGGGAACATGTTGTCTTCAGTATTAAAACTCCTGCTGTTACAGGCTCACTGAAATATCCTTAAGCAGTGTCGCTTACTGTGCAGCATAATCCAGCCTAATACAGTCACATTGTGCATCATAAAACATAAACCTAATTATGATTAGGTCGACATTATTTTATGGAAACTGTCAGAATTTTATAGAAACACATAAATGAAGGCTAAAACTCACAGTCAGCATCAGTTTCACTGAACAACACCACAGCAAACCTTGCTACCATGACAATAACAATAACAATAACATCACAAATTAATTTTCCGGCAAATCAAAATCTTGCTTCACCTCCTGAACCTGTAATAACAGGTGCATAAATTAGAGTTTTGTGACCCTGCATTAAGCGTTTCACTGGAAGGCAAACTGAGGTCTAATCATGCAGGGAAGTAAGTGAAAGGACAATCGGTCAGGCTGATTATACAGCTACAATGAGGAATACGCCACGGCGATGATTTATGACACCAAAGATTGTTCTTACAAGGATGTTTGACTTTGATGTTTCTTACAGAAAAATTCTAAAATGTGTAAAATATGAAATGTGCTGCTGATGAAAATTAAGAATGGGAATTAGTTGTGCTACAACAGGATCACAATATTTAGTGGCTATCATGATAAAGTTATTTTGTAAAATAGCAAAAAAGAGAAAGAATGTATTAAGTTGCTGCATTGTGATATTAAAGTGTGCTTATTTTATCATCATAACAGTTTTAATATTCGATTTTACTTAATATGGTGTCAGTGCAATTAATCAATCCTCTGAATCACTTTTCATTTTATTTTATTTTTTTCTACTATAAGTCAGTTCACTTTACTTTCTTTCCCCAAAAGGAGTCATGAAGTTCTAATTCTGTTTAGGCAAACTGGTCATATTTGGCATAACAGTAATAAGGACACAACTGAGCAGCTAATAAAATAAATGAATAAACAGATTCACAGACAAGCGTAATCTAGAAAACAGTAAATAGTTATTTCTGAGGATTTAGGCTGATTAATTTGTTTTA